CGGGTGCGAGCGGGATGAATTGTTCCAGAACCGTGAAATGCACCCGGATGGGAGCTCGTCAATCTTGCAGCACCGAATGCCACCCGCCGATGGGGGAGATTCCTCTCACGCGTTGGTTTTCCAACAACGGCACCGAGCTCGACCTCGACTCCAACACGCCTGGTTAGCTCCGAGACAGCAATGCTGTGCTCTGTTCGGGAGTTTTAAGTACGAGTTCGACTATTGTTGGATTTTCGACTTAGTTCGCACTAGTGGAATCATCTCACTGCCAAGAGAAAAGAATCACCCTATCGCCTCGTGCTTCTGTTAGGTCATCTAGCTCGCTTTCCAATACGCCGCCCGGTTCGATTCCTGAGCAAGATTGTAGTGTGCGTTTCCCTTGCAATAATTCCATGTATGTTGCTGTCGACGAATGAGAAAATTAACTTCATCAGTTCGAACCGGACATACGGCATGGATGTATACGTTATTAACAAACACTCCCCTAACACAATGCATAATATAACTATTACATACATACATAACACACACACCACATACATTGCCTCTGATCATACTGTGATCTCCTATCAACCAGGTGAAAGCCGAAGCACGATCGCAACAAAGGGTCAGGAGCGCCCGCGTTCTTTTCGTATCTCTGCTGAGGAAGCTGCCCTCATTGGCGATGAGCGATATCTAATGTAAACCCGCGCAACCACACTGTAGATTGCATAGCGGATTGCACTGTCTTCAAGTAGGATTACACTGCATCTCCGAAAAAACCTTCATTTCAACTAACGGACAAAATGACCTTAGTCAGTTGGACGTTCCAGATGCATCAACCAATGACTGCCAGCAGGTCGTGTGAACGTTCATGGCGGGCGTCGAAAAGATCACCGGAGGATCTGATTAAGAGTTTCAAACGAAGTGAAATGTTAAGCGATAGGCCTTGTTTATGATTCCAGTCGTTAGACTTTTGAACATTGTTGCTGATGGATTTGAATTGTCATTTTAAATGAATGAAGAGTGGAATGAGAGCAGGACAACGCAACAACTTCTTGACACACTTATGTCGACGACAAGTTTCGCTCGTAGCTTCGGCGAATTTGAAACCGCAACCTGTATGCAGTGGCAGCAGAGTGCAGATGAGTACTTGACCACTTACACTACAATCGGCACATCTGGGGGCGCACTCAGCCTTCACGCTCCGGAAATGATCAATCATGCATGGGGGAGGTTAGCTCAAAATCTTAAATTTCGCAATACAGCAAACCCGACGAACGCATAGCGTAGCGTTGCCTGCGCGGCCCCGATATCCTCAGACACCGCCTACCAACCAAGTCATCGGCAAGCTGTGCCGTAGCGTGACTAGGATCATTCCCCGGAGAGTGTCACGTTCAAGTTCAAACAAGCAGTGAAATGAACA